GCTAAATGCAAACAGCTGAAATCAAGATGTATTTTTCACATATTTCCTTCTGCTTCTTTTGGTTCTCTTATGTCAGATTTTAGATATGAAATCTCTTGGGCCAGAAACTTGTGCTTTTGTGCTGTTTAAATTGCTATGCAGCACCACTATCGTAAAACAAATATGACCTTTATTGGCAATAACTTCCATAAAGTTCAACTTTAAAAAAACAACTATTTGCACTGAAAGACACCTGTCGTCTAAAGACATGTCTCAGAAGGCTGAACCAACAAATTCTTTGTCACATCAACCTGTCATAGTTAGAAAAGGCTACCTTTTCCTGCCAGTGATCCTGATACCACTCCCAGAAATACAGAAACTCATGAGATGCACCCTGAACATGTGACTAAAAATGAAATTCAACCAGCAGGCAAAAAGTGAGGTTTTTTGCACTGGCCACTTAAGCAATACCCTGCCTTGTTTCTGATGACAGTTGGTGGTTTTTCTTGTTCTTATGGAAAATGAAATGTTTAGATTGACTTTTCGCTTCCTGTGCATGTGGGGTTTCTTCTTGTCTGAAGATATGTTTCTCAGAAACAGCTTTCACCCACCACCCAGGGATGTTTAGAAATGTTTATTTGTCTGCCTATGTATCAGCATGTCTGTGACATGTGGGCACATGTTTGTAAGTTTAACTAAGTTTAAGTAAACTTTTTAGTTTGAAGCTGATAAGGATCAGATGAAAGTGATCAGTGAAATGGCTGCTTTAAGCAATAAATTGGAAGTCTTTGGATCTCACATCCTCTCTTTGAATAATGCTACACTGATTTTAAAATATCAGGTACAGAGTTGTAATATGCATTTAACAACCAATTACAACTGGAATGGTATGTTATACCTGTAACAATGGTTCCTAGTCCAGTAAAGTTTTAAGGGAAATGCTTTCACAGTTATATATTTAAAACAGAATATTGAATGGTTTTGTGTTGCAAAAAAACTCTGGATGACCTCTGCATCTTGAAACTTTTGTTAAGGCTGTAATAGTGGTAGGGCTATAGTGTGTAAATCCAATTTTCTTTCCCACTATAATACCCCTCTTCTTTTCAGATTCTGCAAGCCATAGGAAAGAAAAGAATGTAATGGCAACAATGGCATTAACACTTGTAACATTTTGAAAAAATGTAGGCCAGCTACTCCAACAGAGTATTTGGCATGCAACATTCATTGTGAAATTAACACCCAGGATGCTTAACCTTGGGGTGGTAGGAGTTTATATATTGAGACATGGTTCCAGAACTGCTTTACAAGTATACATGAATGCCTGAAAAAATTTGCCCCCTCTTTTTTCAAAGTGACATTTTCACAGAATCCCAAGGAGACAGACATTTTGTAAGAATGGGACCACAACTGAAGTGATACACCAATGGCCAATGTATTGCAAAACAGATATAATCATCGTGGCAACCTTCACAAGAAAATACACATAGCTCTTTTGAAATAACACAATGTTCTCCTTAAAATCATACAGTTCTGCATCTCTTGATGGTCAACCTCAGGACTATGGGTGACATCTAATACCAAAGGACTCTGACTCACTCTGTATCCCTTAACCACTGTGATCTTTGTGTTGCTAACAGTCTGATACTAAGTACAGCAATTTCGAAAAATGTCCATTGCATCAGAGATAGGCTTTTCATGCCAGGTTATTATGAAAAATGCAGTGGTGGTAGAAGTAAGCTGAAAATGAATACTTTAAATAAACTGCTTACTGCATGTCTTAGCAGTTATTTCAATATTATCTACTTAGAGTCCAGCAGGATTTGAGCAAATCTTGCCTACAATCATCATCATCATCATCATCATCATCATCATCATCATCATCAACAGCATCAACATATTATTCTGATTAGAGCGCCAACATCCCTATACAGTCAGCATGACTGTTTTTAGTACTTTCTGGTTGTGTAATCTAAAATATAAAATTCAGTCAAATTCAGAATTTTGAGAACTGTGGCTTATCCTCTTAAAATCAGTGATAAACTTGGATATTAAACTGATCTTTCAGTTCACCTGCTTCTTCACATAAGTAGTATCTTCTAACGTACATTTTTCTGTATCTCATCTGGATTTCCTTCTGGCCAGATAATTCAGGAAATACAGTGCTGATGCTGTGAACAGCTGCAGGCAAGTCCTCTGCTCCTCTATCACACGTAAATCAACTTACCTTGATTTGCAGCTACCTTTCCACTGTTTTGAATATTTCTGAAATTTAATTCACATGTTATTTTTAAAAAAGCATGTGGAAGTCTTAATTGGTTCAGTACTAAATATTAGCAAAAGGGAATTCACTGCTTTTTTGATAGGAAGATATGCAAATTTTTCTTTTAATTGGAATATCTATAAAATATCTCTAGTCACAATGTTGTTTATTGTTTTCCATGGACCAAAGGATTCAGCCAATAAAATGCAACCCATGAATATTCGCATATATTATACATGCACAATTCAGTTCAAAGGGGTTGTGTAAGCAGTAACAAATTGGACAAACACATTAAACTTAGAAAGTTATGCTGTACATTTGCTTCAATTCCAAAGAGATGACTGATTTGAGCTACCATACGTAGTTTTGCTCTGAAATTCATGTTTATCTTTTCCTTAACGCAGCTGTTTTCACATATATGCATATACTTAATTCCTTGTTTACCTTTTAATGATTTCATCCTTCTGCTTATTTTATGCAACACAGTTAAATGCTTCCAATAGACCAGCCTGAATTGTTCTGGAATTTGCATGTTGATGTTTGCCTGCAGGATGTATTTTCAAGTCCATATGCAAGAAAATGTAAATATGTAATGTTTAATGATAATGGGGAAAAACACTTGTACAAATATTTTCTCCCAGGCTATACTTCAATAGGAAGAGAAAATCCTAAGTCTATTTTGAGATCTGGATATAATACTAAGAAGTGACAATATTTGAGTTATGGGCTGGAAATGAAAGAAAAAAAGTTATCAGTTCATTGAACTGAAAGGACTTGTAAATCATATAGCTGAACTCTATGCTCAGTAAAAACTAATTCCCAGAATCTTTATTAAGATTAGCTGGAGAATAATGAGAATCAAAGTCCATACATGTGAAGAGTACCTAAGTTGGAGGTACCCTAAGCTCATCTAGGGAATAGACATTGTCCAATTTTGACTCATCATCATACCCCCACCCCCACAAGAAGAACTGAAAGCTATAGACTGTCTAGCTCAGTGTTTTTGAACCTTAGCAACTTTGAGAAGTGTGGACTTCAACTCCCAAAATTCCACAGCCAGCTTGGGAGTTGAAATCCATGCATCTTAAATTTGTGAAGGTTGAGAAACCGTGGTCTAGTTGCTCATTTGAGGAAATTCCTCCCCTCTTCTCTGGACTGAAACATTAGTGCTTCTTTGCCCAGGTTGCTACATAGCACAGATTAAGAGGACACAATTCTCCACCACAGTAAGCTTCAAAGACCAGCATTTGGAACAGCCACAAGGCAGCTACAATCAGGGAAGCAGAAATGTAAATGAATTCTGCTGTTAATCCTCGGGAGGCAATCCAAAGAGACTGATGGCACTGGTCACAGATGAAGCCCTGATAGCTTTCCCTTTTATCTCCAAAAAAATCAAATCAAATCTATGGAGGGACTAGGAGAGGATTGCACTTTTTTAAATGGATCGGGTGGTCAAAGGGTCACTTCCACTTTTGATTAACTTTTAAAATCCCAAGCTCTGTGCCCAACTATTTATACATTGGCTTCTTTCTATCCCTGCAACTTATTTTAGGGTTTAACAAAATGGAAAAAAATCCCTTGGCTTTCTTTTTAAAAGTTAAATGTAATCTTCATTTGAAGATTTGTAAACAACAATCTTCAGATCTGCCATATATTTTATCTTACATTAAAAAAAAAATCTTTGGAAAAAATGCTAGTCCAGAAAATTGCCTTGCAAAAAGGAGATAATAGAGTGAAGAGTATTTGCGGGGAGCAATACATAGTTACTGATAAACAGATCTTTTTTCCCCATTATTATCGTGCCAGACCTGTTATAAATACCCCTACCTTATCTTGCATATTTTATCTTATATTTATTGTATATTTATTTTTAATCCTTGTCAGCTGCCTTAGAGGACTAGTAGGCAAAGAAATACAGTGTATATGTACATCCATATAAAAGAGGACTATTTTGGTCCTCCCACATCACCACCCCATCTTGGGAGGTCTGAATAAACAAGAGTTTTTACCAAACTCATGTCAAGTGCTATTGCTGACTGCCCAGAGAAAATATAGGAAGAATTCTGATATTCTGGAAACACCATAATAGAACTTTAGAAATGTAGGAAGCCTTCCATGAAAATAAATGGCACAGTGTATATTTTTGTAGAAGGCAAGTCAAAGCAAATTTGGTTTTTAAGCCTGTAATGATTAACAGGCAAGAAAAGATGTTCTGGTACAACCACTTAACAACAAGATAATGATGAAGTTTGCAGAAGTGTCAGTGAGAAAGTGCTTGTCAAATCATGATTGCAAGGTCATTTGTGTTCCTTGAAAAGAGGAACAGTTGTCTTTTATATGGTAGTCAACAAAATAAATTTCTCCCTCTTGCTTTCATCCTCTTTCCAATCATGTTGATGTGCAAAATCCCTCTGATGAAAGTTATGAGTATTAAAACTCAGGAATTTCAGGAATGTGAAAAAATATGGCTTCAAAACCTGATTTTGGGTGAAATAATCACACAGAACAAGAGACAGACAGATGGATGCCACTGGGAGCCATTACAGTTTGCAGTGTCTGAATCTGGTGCTTGAACTGAGTGAAGTGAGCCTAACATGTAGTTGAATATCATGCATTCCTCTCTCCCCTCCTCTTGTATGAGTTAAATTAAGTTTGGGGTAAGTGTATAGACACTCTGCATCTAATGTTGCATTGGTTTTTAATCACTGAAAGGGTATGTTTGTGTTTTTGTGTGTGTTTTTATATTTCATCTTTCTTTCAGGAGCTGATGGCCCCACCAGTATATACTATTCCCTCCTTCAATCTTTCCAACAACAATTTTGTGGAGTACATTGGGCTGAGTGACTGGCCCAAATCACTCAATGAAAGTAGACTTGAACTTGGTCCTTCTATATGCACAGTCTTAACCATTAGACTATACTGGTTTAGAATCTAGGGTACATTCTGAAATGTTTGTAAGAAGGAATAATAAAATTTGAAGATCAAAATACTTATTTTGAAGTTCCTTATTTGTGGAGTGTTTTGTAATGTTTCTACAGATCCTGTGCTGGGTCAAATCTCTTTTCTGACTTAATGCTGCCTGAAAGATTCTTTGTGGACTTGCCTTTTTGGTAAACATTACATCATCCTTTCATGTCTTAAATCTCCTACTTCAGAACAAGAATCAACTAGTTTACAGGGGCACCAGCATTTCAAACAAAGTTGAAAGCTTTCCTTTAGACTAATATGCACCAATGTCTGCTGTACTTTAAATGTATTCATTCAGCACATAGTGATAAAAAATGAACAGTGGTAAAGACAGCTTTGGTTAATAAATAATGCAAAGCTCTTTTCATTATTATTCTTGTTAATGTACAAATTCATCTGAAGAGTGGTGACTGCAAAAAGGTTTTTTTTTTTAATGGGGAGGGGGTGGAATTAAGCAAGTCCATGTATCAAATGGATCCTTTAAGACAACTTTCCTTCCACTACTGCTTTCACATATTATGCACAATTAAATGATATTTGTCCTTATCCAACACCCCAAGGAGCCCTAAGGTAAAGCACTAATCTTGGAGGTGAAGTGCTGTTTTCAGGTCCTCCTGCCATTCCAATCCCAGAAGAAAATCTGACATCAGATTCTCCCTCTCAATCAGCTTCTGTAGCTGGCTTGTTCTAGGGTCAATAAATCCCAATATCAAAATGGCCCAAAACAGGTTCTAGAAAGGTATTTGGGAAGTGGATTCTGACATCCTGGGGATCAAATCCACTCTCTTAGCTCTTCTATCCAGAGAAAGGTTTTGAACAGATCAATATGTGATTTAAATACATTTCTCCCATGGTGTATATTTTTTAAAAAATACCCTGTCCGGGAAGAGGTTGGAAAGACATAAACATTCTGAGTGGTCTGATGTCAGAATACATCAGAACACATTAACAGAACTGCTCTGCAACATCTATTTGCCAAGAAAAAGCCTTTATCACTTAATAAACAAGGAGTACCCAGATAACCCTATAACCAGCAGGATCTGTGGCCTGCATATGGGAAAGCAATTAACCAATTGGTTAGTTTAGTCCAATTGTTTTATGGTTGAATTTTATTTTTTTTAATATATTTTGTATTTGTATGACCTTTCAGCAGCTGATAGCTACTGAAGAAGTATATATTTAATGAACACACACACACACACACACACACACATATATTTGTCTTCGTTGAATTAGATTAGTTCAACTCCTATTTCTTTTTTAGTATTGGGGAGCAGGATGCGCAGACATTCGGTCTCTGCATTAGGAGAAGCATTTTTTTCCTATAGGGATGGGTTCCTTTCGCCATCACATGGGATAAGATTTGGAAATAAGGGGCAGGGGGGAGGGAGTTGAGCTTATTCTTCCACTGTTTCTTAGGGTTAGTCATTTTTTTAAAAATGGTCCTTTACTTTAAAGCAGGGTTTCTTAACCTCAGCAACTTTAAGATGTGTGGACTTCAATTCCCAGAATTCCCTAGCCATCCACTTTTAAAGGTTTTCAGAAACAGTCTTCCTTTAGTTATGTCTAAGTGCAAGATAAAGAATCATAAGAAGGGATCTAGAATGGGCCTAGAAATAGCATATTAACATTCAACATGGATAGAATGAGGCATGGTTTTCTCAAGTATTTGTTTGGTAGCCATGGGCTTCCCTAAATTTTATGTCTTACTTCAGATGGCTTCTTACTAAGATTGAATGTTAACAGAAGCTTTAGTATTGGGTAGTTCAGAACATGTAAAACACAGCGCAAGCTAAACATTTATACCAGTTGAAACAAAGCAGTGTTTAAGGTAATTTGTTTTTAAAATGTGCATTAAAGCAACTTAAATCTCCAAAGGATAAATATAATTACATGGAATTAATACCAAACTGCCTAGAGATCAGTTACTTTCAGTTAGCTTTGGGTCTTGTGTGTAACACACCCAATTGTTCCTCCTTTTAGTCAGAATAGCACATCTGATTATGTAGTTTGTGTGCACACCTGTAATTCATTTTTAAAAAGCCATGCACTCAAATATTTTCTCTACAGTAGAATGGTGCCACTAAGTTCCTAAAATGTTCCATACCATTTGCTTTATAGCATGTGTTTTATCAACCCGTAGTATGGTACTTTCAGAGAGCTTTGAGTCAAATACTACACTTGCAGGTGCAACATTCTTTTTCCTACCCCTATTTTTCCTCAGGAGATATTTCAGAGAGGAGAAAAAGATCTTGTTCAGAGGATGGAGCTTCTAAATAACACTGAATCCCAGTTTTTATCTCCCAACCTCTTACCTCCCTTTTTCCTCAAGACATAAATATTGATGCCATAAGAATTGGCCATATAGTCTGAACCTTACTCATTCAAAGCTTATGTGACCAAAAAATTAAGAATGTAATCCTGAAAAATAAAAAAAATAAAAAAATCCCATATATTATCAAAGCCCACAACATTAGCATTTGAATCTAATTGAGTCTTCATTTTTGGCTTCCTTTTTTTTTTTTTTTTTGGCCTTTCTTCTTTAAAAAACAACCTAGAAACAACTGTGGACATTTTCTGCTATAAACCTTCTGTTTCACTTCTGCTAGTCTATAAAAAACATTTCTCCCATGAAATATGGCCAACATTCTCCCTTTTATGAGACAGGCCAACACCACAGAGTGTAGAAAATTAGTGACCTTTGGTTGTGATCCAACAGCATCATTTGTTTACAGCATGCCTACAATGAAGGTTATGTCAATTTTCAAATACATGTGAATAGTATTTAGAAGAAATAGTTCTGATTTCTTTTCTGTGAAAGTGTACCATGTTATATTGTTATTGTTCTTATTTTAATACAGCAAAATAAATTGGGATATTTATTTTACAGTCAAGACAGCAGCGACTACAAGATGCAGGTAGATGATACAGTCTCCACCTAGGCCAATGTCTCTGTTTTGAAATCAAACCTCAGAAAATCTCTGGTACCCAGTAATACGAATTCTGACTCTGATTGCAAAGCAAAATTAATGTGGAAAAGTAAGAACATCCATCTCCTTTCAATTTTCCTGCTTCATTTTCTGCCCCTGTTATTATAGCTGCATTCAGAGCGATCAAGCAACGTTTGTGGGAGAGAAACTATTGCCAGAAGAGATCACTTCTGAGAAGAGATGTTTTTCTGGCTTCAAGGACCTGTCCTCAAATTTCCTAAAGCTCTACATGCATGGCTGGAAGTCTGCAGAATAAAAACATTTAATCTCAGGGCTGAAGCTTGGTTTGTACAGGCAGAAACTTAAGAGACAATATTTACAGAGGTCAGTGCAAATATTTTATACTGGAACAATTTGCTTTGGTTTAAAAGAAGACAAACACCTCAGAATCACATTAAAAAGCCATCAGGTTTCACCTGTGTTCATGCTGATGCTAAAAGAAAATGCAATTTAGAAACAAATTATGCATTGTCTGGAACATGACAATACAAGGGCAACCCCCTTTTTTCCCCCTGTATATTTCTGATTCAACAGAAGATTGTGGAAGACTTTAAATGGCTAACAAGAGGATGGGCTAGAAAAGATGTGGGCAAATTAGATTGTAAAGAGGAAGTGTCTCCTTTACTTTAATAGTTGCCTAGAAGACAGAATGGGTAAACATAGAGCCTGTAGCTTCTACAGAGAGGCGAGAATAACATCACTCTTACATTCAATACATTCAGTTATTGAATGTACTGAATGATACAACAGACATGTGACTACTTGTGTTTTTTGTTCTCTTCTTGGTTTGTGATGTTATCAGGCTATGCAGTTCCCATCCCAGAAATGAAAATTGAAGAACCCACATGTTGAGTAGACATGACTGGGAACAGAGAGATATTGACTGAAGGTGACTGGGAGAGAGAGAGAGAAAAAGGCAATCTGTTGCCCTGCATCTTTAGAAGTAAACAAATTGTATCTGTAAACACACAGGGGTTTCAGTAGATAGCAACAGTATTGTTATTACCCATACCATATCTGGGCTGAAGAAAATCCAGAAGACCATTAGGCAACAGCAAAGAGATATATGAGTATCTTACTCTTTCCTGATATCTGGTAATTGCATGTACTGAGTGATTTTTGTACTGAGATTTAAGAAAAGTCAGAACTCTTCTTCCTACTGTGATAGCATGGCTAACAGACCATGGGAACACAGAGGGAGCAGCAAGAGAGTTAAGGGAGGAAACAGGCCCATTACAGACGAGATTCTTGAGTCCAGAAGCATCAGAAAGACTCACAGTAACTCTGCTTTAATTAAGCTAGGTAAAGGATGTGCGGGAAAATTACTTTGTTAGGCTTTCAAGACTAAGTTACATTACCCTACTTGCACCCTAAAGTTCTTTCCAAAAATCCAAGTGGTTCTTATCTCCTCTTGTAGGGCTGGACTACAAGATACTCAGTCAATTTGTGTTAGTTGCACTTAATCATGGCATAAACATGCCATAGCAACATCTTTTTCTGCTGGGTCCCCAGGATGTGACCTCTGTGGATACTGTTTTTTTTTTTTTTAATCTATTATTTGGTCTACTGTACTCAAAATGTGTGCCCAGGTTGCAGTGAATAAAAGGGCAGCCAACATACAAACATCAGAAAAGCCCCCTAGAATTAGACCAAGTACTCATCCTTTCCTAAATGAGTACAATAAATTCTTGACCACTCCTGTTTCTAGTGACTGCATTCAAATGAATTTAATCGGCAGCAACAGGTTAAATAGGAGATAATTCTTATCATTTCAGGCAACCTATCTATATTCTCAATATCTGAAGCTTAAAACATACAGAGTAGCTGGACAAGTAGCCCAAAGTGACTAAATTACAGAGGATAACCAAAAGCAAATCATTAAAGAATGGCACAAATTATTCATAGAGAGCCAGTAACAACCTGACCAGTAACCAGGTAAAAAGGCTTAGCATTGCATGGAAGTGTCACAGGTCTATCCTTAATTTGCTCTCTTACACCTCTTG